ATGAGTGAATTGTCGATCAAATTTTAATTTATTGAATGACAACTCCTTATTATTACTTACCCACCATCAATGTCTTAGAAGTTAGACCTTGATAAATGTGATTGGCTTATAATTGTTTACGTGCATGAATTATAATGGAAAGGAAATATTATATGCCTTCGTATTTTTTACTCCCAATTTGTATTTATATATTCAAAATTTTGATGTAAATACAATTACATGGGCTCACATCAAAAAAATAGTCTATCAATATCCGTCATATCAAGGAGTAAATGTGATAGAGTAAGATTTAGAAATACATATATTAAAATTTTAGTTGAAATTGCAAAGACAAACGGTCATGATTAATTAGGTAAAAAAACCATGCCATTTAGTTATGCAACTTTTGACTTTGTCATCGGTCTAATCATGACCGTTCGTCTATTTGTTAGCAGTTGGATGACCTATTTGAATCTTATTCCAATAAAATAAAAAGAGAATCCCAATTTATTGGAACTTTGACATTTTGGCTTCTCATCATCATAGGCCTTGTTAACAATAATAACGATGGTACATATGCATTATTATTACTCTTTTAATTTACTTCATTTTTCACATGACAATTCATTGAACATCAAAGAAACAATACATGGCAATTCATTGAACATCAAAGAAAAAAGAACTGCAATTTTCATGCTTTTTGAGTTGAATATAAAGTTGGTTTTCAATTTTGGATTAATTAACCTAATTTCTAGGTTGGAGAGAAATTCAACCCAATCAACCAATACCCAAATTGCTTTAGATTATATTGTGACATATGTCATGTGGTGTTGATTAATCCCTTTAAAATGGATATACTGTTAGTTAAGATTTTAAATTAATACTCCCCGTCCTATTTTATGTGTCTGGTTCGGTTAATGATACTTGACTGAAGTTATTTTTAATCAAATTTTCTATAATATTAAGTTTAGTATTAGTATACAAAATTTATATATTTAGAAACTACACTAAAAATACTATTAATTTTAAAGGTCAAAATTACAACAAATTATTACACAAGAAAAAAAAAACACAAAAAAATCAAATTTAAAAATAAGTAAAAAATACTAAAGAAAATTTTAAAAAATTGTTTTGACCAATAAATATTAAGTAGAACAGATAAAAATAGAGTAATTTTCTTTCTTACAAAAATGTTAACGTTTGAAGTTGAATTGTTATTTGTATTAAAATATTGTACCATTAAAATTGTTTCATATCAATTTGTATCAAGATAATTAATTCATGAGTAGTCAAATCACATTGAAAGATTTACAAAATTTCCTCCAAAATAAAGTATATGGTTTGAATCTTTTAAATAAAATAACAGACATTAAAATTGACAAATAAAACTAATATTTTTTTCCTGCTGTACTAAATTTATCCCAATGTTTTAAAAATCTACTTAGGTGGCCGTCTAGATTGAGGGGATTTTAGCCTTAGGCGTCTTTTAGTCGGTCGACCGACTCGGTCAAGTCGGCGCCTAACTAAGCTGAGTTTTTTTCTCTTAGGGTTTAAGGTGGCTACACTTTATTATTATTATTTTACTCGGCCGTCTAGGCGCTCTAGGTGTTAGGCGTCTCCCGCCTGTCCGACTAGCGCCGAGTGCCTTTTGCAACCTTGATTTATATATCCTCTTAATATGATAATAAAACTTTTTATATTCATTAGATGCCCGTAAATTATTGACCCACCAAAAATTTTAAAATAAAAATTATTTAGCAAACAAATAAAAAAAATCAAATAGTGGTATATAACAAGATGTTACTTAGAAAGGAGATCTAGGATATGCTCATTTTTAAGAAAAATTCTTCATTTATCTAGAGAAATGAAAATCTAGGGTTATGAAAATAGAAAATTTGTTTATTTGTATATTTCTTCAATTTGAAAAAATAATAATAACTAATGGATGATAGAAAACTGAGGTTAAAGTAAATGTAGTTCATATATAGTGTAAATGAGATCAAAGGATAGGACTATAGGATTACACTACGTAATAAGGACATAAGGTGACTTTGTGTTGTTGATTATGTACAAGGTGAGTAGGGCTAAGTCAACTATATATGGATGGACTCTTATCAATTTACAAGATTAAGCTAGTGTGAGTTGTGATATGGAGTTGAAAAATAATTTGAGTTACAAGAGAGGGTATTATTTATACTAAAGTTATGATGATCTGTGGCAAGTGGTACGTGTTGACATGGCGAGCTTTGGTTAGTGGACATAGACAGTTAGTTAGGTAGCGCGACAAATATACAACTATGACAACCTAGTTTGGTATTACTGGCTACTTGCTAGGCATAGGTCAACTTATCTAATTTTACCTTACTAAGTGCAAGTGAATCTTTATTTGTTCTTCTCAACAATATATGTTTAGCCGAGCCCTCAAGAACACAACTTTTTTTTAATCTTTGCATGATTTGTTGGACCTAGCTATTATTCAAGTTATTGAGCGAGTTGGACAGCCTTGTAATCCTAACGATTTTCTTGTCCCAAGTCTATTGCATAAGTGAGTAGTTAATATGCAAAGAGATACACTAGAAGGCAAAATGTGAGAATATATATCTAGTACCCTTTTAGTCTTGATAATATTTTTTGATTGATAATTGACAATAACAAGTTTACAATGGTTCTACAATATAAACTATGTTTCAACTTAAAATTGGATGCCTTTAGATAATCTCTTTCCTTTTATAGGCCCCTATGATGGTTTAAAATTTCTCCACACAACCTGACATCATGGGTTGTGCATGTTCACCAAACTCTTGTAAAAATGACTTTGACCGCACTCCTCGATTGCCCACGTTACCAATGACACACATGTGTTGTGCCTAGGGCATGCCCGTGCTATGCTGAGATGTATTCATGCCACACTAGGTCTTGTGGTCATCATGCCATGTGCCCATGCTTATGTTGCACCATTTTTGCGCTTGTGTTACACCAGATCATACACTTGTGTTACGTTGCATGCACGCGCTCGCGCTTATATCGTGTTGCTTTTGTGCATTACCTGCATGCCTCGTGCTTGCGTCGTGCTACCACTACACCTTGCTAGCACACCTCATGCAAATGCCTTGCTTCACCATGGTACCACACATCTCACTACAACACCTATATGTGTTGTGTACTTGTTGCCACTACGTAGTGCATGTTCGTGCCATGTTGTGCCACACCTTGTATTGTGCTTGGTTTTATACTTTTATTTTATATATACCAAGCACCTCAAGATCAGATTCTAACTTACAATTTCGCTCAAGATTTCAAACAACTTAGGCTCAAATTTTCATCAAACCCTAATAATAGGATAACATTACTTAAATTAGTAATAACTTAATGTTGAATTAAGTGAAGATCTATATTAGATACTATAAGTTATGATTTAGAAAGAAAATAGAAAAAGCATTTTGTGAAAGCATATGCTCCATATGAAAGGAGCGGAAGGAAATAATCTCCGCGGAAAAGGGGCAAATGACAGCCACTGGATGGACGCGTGGCCATGAAAATCAAAACAAAAACTTTACGGAAACTATTTAAAGTAAGAAGCAAATTGAAGTTGCAGCTGACTCTTTCCTGTAATAAATTCATAAAGTAGCTTTTTAATGTATGGACCACTCTGTCTCTTTGAATTGGTCCAACTCCACTCAGACCTCGACGTCTGCTGCTTCAATCCAGCTTAGAGTCAAAACTATGAATGTGAACCAATGCTTTTCAAGCTTATCTTTTATTTTGAGCTGTAAATAACTTCAACCTAGCTGATGATTAACACGTTTCAGGCTAACCAAATCTTGTACGGTGTGATTTAATTACCTACTTGTGATCTGTTACCGGTTAAGGTCACAAGACGAGATTTATCCAAATATTCTGAAATAATTATTGCGGATTTTTCTCGTCACTTTAAATCTTATACTGTGACACAATCACAGTTAATTAAGTTCAACTCTTAGCAAGAACAACTTATTGACTTTTATGATTTGAATCAGTCAGTTAAGTCTTTCTTGGTTGAGCCGGTCACGCAGAACCTTCTTGATTGAGCCAATCAACTATGTGCATCTTTGTAATTCTCTAAAATATTGGTATACCTCAATTTGCCCACAGAGATAAAGTAAAAGTATGATTTATTTTAAATTGGTTGATTAATTTAGTTCAGTCGACAACACCAAATTATAGAAGGTGGATTTTTTAAGATAAAAATCTTTAGTCAAGTATTTTGTGGTCTGATGACATCACTGTTATTATTTCAAATGGAAAGTCTCGAGTTCGAGTTCCATATTCGAATCAAAGATGTTGACATTATCATAAGAAGATACTATATTTAGGAATCCAACGGGATAGCTCAAGTAACAAATGAGCTCTCTTTGTGGGTCGATTCCCCTTGAGCCAGCTCCCGAGGATTAATCTGGTGGACCCGTCCGACGGGCATAAAAAAACCTGAACCCGTCGGACTGACATAAAAAGACCTAGACCACATGGTGGTTTACACCAAAAAAAAAAAAAAAAAAAAAAAAAAAAAAAAAAAGATACTATGTTTAGGAAAAGATAAAAATCTTTAAGAGCATCCACATTGGTTGGGAAGAATGGGGAGATAATGTAAGAGTGATTAGGAAAGAGAGTGTGGGAGAGGAGAGAAAAAAAAAAAAGAAAAAACAAAACAAAAAAAAAATTAAAAAAAAAAGAAAGTAGTCAGACGCGTCAGGCGCGCCTGACGCGCCTCCGCGTGCAGTGCACGCGCCCGGCTTTTGCCCAAGGCTGTGCGCGAACGCGCACAGCCTTGCTTCTTCTTCTTTCTCTTTTTTTTTTTTTTTTTTTTTTTTTTTTTTTTTTGACAATCTCCCTACATTTGCAGGGAGATTATTTTTCAATTATCTCATGTTCACACTAGCTATTATCTCATGAAGGGAAGATTTAATTCTGAATTCTCCCCACAATATCCACAAGTGTGGATGGCCTAAAAGGTGGCAATGATGTGAACTTTTGTAAAGAGTAGTGAATGCACAATAAATACAGTTTCTGTGGAGCTATAAATACAGCAAAGCAGAAGAGATTCAGAGCACAGAACAAATAGATATTACAATACCCTGCAATCCCTCATTTCCCTTCTTCCCATCACAAGAAAACTCTGTTTCTTCATTTCTCAAACCATTTTTTTTTCTTTATATTTACAGTCCTCTCTTCCTCCATTGATCCTCACCTTCACTCAGGGGTCACTGGACTTCCCGCAAATTTCCCGTGTTTTTCTGAGAAATTTGCAGCTTTTCTTGAAAGAAAATGGAGAGCATTCATGGAAGTAATATGCCATTTGTTTATGGCAAAAACTCTGAAATTGGACCGTCTCTCTCGCAACTCATTTTGACGGGCGGTGCGAACACAATGGACTCCATTTTCTCCGGTTACCCGGAACCGGCGGCCAACCACAACTCCGCCGCCTCTGAGCCGCTGGGCTCTTCCGTCTATCTCCTACACAGAGAAATTCTCCAGAAATTCTGGCAAGAAAACAGAGTAACAACCCCTGCGTTGTTCACAACTACAAGAGCCCCTGGGGCATTCAACGATGGCCTTAGCGCTTACATGAACCCGATGAAGAAGAAGCTGTACAGAGGAGTGCGGCAACGCCACTGGGGAAAATGGGTTGCAGAGATTAGACTTCCCCAGAACCGGATGAGAGTTTGGCTGGGGACTTACGAGACCGCCGAGGCGGCGGCCTATGCGTATGACCGAGCGGCCTATAAGCTTCGCGGCGAGTATGCGCGCCTGAATTTTCCCAATCTTCGCGATCCAAGCAAGCTGGGATTCGGAGACGACGCCAAATTGGCGGAGCTGAAGAAAGCAGTGGACGCCAAGATTCACGCAATTTCCCAGAAGGTGAAGAGGGAGAGCAAAGCCAAGGAGTCCAAGAAACGAAATGCTAAGCAGAGCTCTGCTCAGACTGTGGGAACTATTGAGTCGCCGTCTTCTCCGTTCGCCGGGAATCAGGTTTCTGAAGAGGAATTCTGCAGCTGCAAGAGCAAGGCGTCGACGACGAGCTCGGATTCCGGCGGGATTCCGGCGCTGCCCTCCATTGATTCCGATTTTGATGATTGCAGTCTTGCGAGGATACCTTCTTTTGATCTGGACTTGATTTGGGAAGTTCTGGCTAATTAGGACAACAGTTCTGTTGATCTTTATATTTTGCTATCTAATCTCCACTCATATTAGTAGCTTTCTATGGCATGAACATAAATTTTTATGTTTGTTCGTGGCCAACACTAGTAGAATAAATTATTGACTTTCTCAGTTTAAGTCCGGTTAGTTATAACAATCTAGACTGGTTATCCATCTTTAGTAGTTGTTTTGGACTTCCCCGTAAATCAAATAATAAGTTTGTATATTTTAACTATGGAAAAATAGGAATTAGTAATTGTATACTCATTTCACTGTTAAAAAGATGTTATTAAGGTGATAAATGTGTTCTTAAATAAAATTTAGAAATAATTTAAGTATTTTGTGATTATTTGATACAAGACAATTTGTAACAAAGACAAAAAAAATCTGGGAATTTTTTTTTTTTTAAGTTAAAATATAATTTATAAGTTATTACATAGAAGCAAACTTTAATCATGTAAAAAAAAAAAAAAAAAAAAAAAAAAACTTAGGAGACTAGATTGATAACTAGGATTAACATGTGAGGTGTAGAGCAAAGCGGGAAGCTTGCATGTGATGTAGAAAACTATTTCCATCATCAATAGATTTGTGCAATAATGGTCCTCCTTTTGGCTTTATGATTTTACCTAATTTTCCGTCTCTCAAATATATAGCCAATGTGGGAATTAATCTTCGCATTGATAACTAAAACTAGGTGTAGAGGTGGCTATTAGGACTAACCCTATAAGCGTCGTGCCAAGCATTTTGTGCTCAATTGCTATCTCTATAATTTTTCTTGAGGAAAAGTTACAAAATTGAATCATTATTCGGTGGTATGGTATTGACTTTTGATCTACAATTGAATAGATACTACATTGTAATAGAGTGGATAGTGCTAACAAAAATGATTCCCTATAAGGGTTGGTCAAAATCCTTTATTAACATAGATATAATCTCAATTAAGTTGGTTAGACAGTTAATTTAGTAATCACAAGTTTCAAGTTTGACTTTACGTATGAGCGGTCTAAATACACCATTGCTAATTTGCCTAGTTCGTTCCAATTGTATGAATTACTACATGATTTATTATTCTTCGAAAATATATATTGCAATCCCAATATGCCTAAATTCCTATATATTTTGTAGAATTAATGATCGTTGTTTTGGTCCATCAATTATGTCGTAATTATTAAATTAGTCCTCAGCTATAATTTTTAACCAAATAAATTCTCAATTATTGATTTCCTAACCGATTTGGTCATCCATCAAACTGATCGAGGACCAATTTGATAATTACGGAGGACCAAATCAGTTACGAAGTCAATATTTGAGGATTTAATTGGTCAAAATTGATAGTCAATGACCAATTTGATAAGTATGATATAATCGAGTGACGAAAACAATCATTAATTCTATTTTGTATGTATTTGTTTTAGATATTATATATATATATATATATATATATATATATATATATATATATATATATATATATATATATGCTTGTCTAGCATGATTACGTATATTTATGGAGATATAATTGCAATTTAATTTGTTGGTTGCTGAATTATTTGTCCACATTTATGAATTCTGCGTATATATTTATTTTGAAAACATTTTTTTTTAGATTTATATGGGCTTATAATTTAAAATTTTCAAATTGAAAATATTCAGTTAGAGTTAATTCCATTTTTAGTCCTAAATTTACATGTGACACTCCACTTTTAGTTATTTTTTATTAGAACATCCTCATTTAGTCATAGTATTATTGTGTCATGGCCATTTTTAGTCCCCATTCAATAAAATCGTTGAAATATCTTTAAATACAAAGATATTTCAATCTTTTTTTATATACAAAGTAGGTTGAACCACTATATTTTTTATGTTTATTTTTTTTTTTAAAAAAAATCCACAATTGAAGACCGAAATGCCCTTGTATTTAATGTTATTTAAATTGTTTTGTTGATAAAGAACAAAAAATGATCATGCCAAAATAATACTAAGACCAAAAATGGATGTTCTAATAAAAAAATAACTTAAAGTGAATTTTCACTTATAAATCTATGACCAAAAATGGAATTAACTCTATTCGGTTATTATTAAATTGATATTCAATTTGGGCCTTCAAGTTTTGGACTTGTATGTTTATTTGAGTTTAATAATTATGTTCATATGCCAAGGATCTTATGGTCTAGTAGAACCAAATTGCTCTCCCATATGAGAGATTGTGGGTTTAAACATCAATGGAGGTGGTATTGACTCTTAATAGTGTTAATAATACTCAAAACAAAATAGAAAATTATGCTCATATGAAATTGTTTTAATTGTTACAATTTCTTTCCTGCCATTAGTTTAATAATATGTATATTCCGTAGCATTTTATTTTTTTCTATTTTAATGTATACATTTAACACGTACACTTGTTGATATGGATTGAAGAAGCTTTTCCCTTAGTGGGAATTTGGCATTTGATGGTGGACTTCTACCTTACAACGCTTCTACTGGGAATGAGAGGCACATGCATGTAATAGCTGCTCTTGTGTCACTACATTATATTCTCAAAAAAAGCCAATTTTTATTTTCCTAGTTTGAAGGTTTTTAGTTGTCAATATTATTTTTTCCCATGTGCTTCATTTGGAAAGGGAAGCTAGGGAAGCTACCCTTGATCAACATAGAGTTTAACCCTATGATTCAAGGGTTACTTTGGAAGTCTTGCTTCAGCGGTAGGGTGGAGGTTCAATTCCCACAGCTTAAAAATTCGATCAGAGATAGATGAAGACCTTTTAGAACACATTCCAAATGGATTTGACATAAAACAACTTTATAACGCAATTGACATAAAACATGATATAAAGTGACTCATTACATATTAAACAAGATAATAATAGTCCCTATTTTAGAACCACACAACTTTCTCACATGAGCTTCAATGCTTGTCAATTTTCATATAACACACAACTTTATGTAAGTATAGAATCATTAAAACACATGTAGTTAGAATACATTGAGCACAACCCTACTTCACCGCCTAAACTCATACTATAAATTCAAATAAAGATCGAGCATACTCTCCATCACCAAAATTTTAATTTAACCAAAATTAGTCCTACTATTGATTTTGTTCCAATTCTAGTCCTTATGTTAAATGTCAATTAAATAGACCTTAAATTTGAAGGCAAGAATGTAAAATCAAGTCTTTTGCCATTTTCTTCTTCATTCTTCTCCATCACATTTCTTATCAGATCAAATAAGGAATTCCTTAACCAAATTCTAGAATCCTAAGAGAAATGTTGAAATAGTGATGTGGTAACATAAACAAAATTTAAGCAAATTATTAACAACCCTAGTTTTAATTGTCCAGCAAATCGAAGCTATAAGTATGGGCTTACGATGAAGGATTGGGATTGATGATATTCCAAACTACGGTGTGTTTTCTTTTAATATTTTCTATGAGATTATAATTTCATTGTGCTTGAAAGTTATGTAATGCATAATAAATATAGTTTTTTTTTTCTTGTGGACCAGGGTGATTTATTGGTGTATATATATATTGAGTATGAAGAATGTGATGTATAGGGACCATTGATCAAAGTGGAAATTATTTATTGAATGTTTGCTAGTGTAACAAACCCTCAACTCCTTGTGACCATTGTGTTGTGTTGTGTTGTTTGCTAGTGTAGAAAACATTTAAATAGAGACCATTGTGTTGTACGTTGATAACCAATTTAAATATTGGAATAAGGTCAAATAAGCTCATTAAATTTAGTGAACAATGCAATTAAATTTTAAAACATAAATAATTAAATCTAAGCCAATTAAAGTAGGAAAAATACAATTAAGTCAGGGCATGTGCAATGTTAAAATTCTCTTTGAGAAGTTTTGTGAGATCATATCTTTCACACCAACCCTCAATATCTCATCTACTTCTAATATATTTCCCCTCCATTGTTACTCATCACTCTCCCTCAAACTTTTGTAAGATTAGCCTTTCCATATCATCTATAATTTATTTGTCCGTTTGATTTAAGGAAAACCTACCGGCGTCACCTATAATTTATAATTCAAATTTTAAAGAAATTAAAAAAATTCAATTTTAAATTAAATACTACATATATAATTTAAACTTTAATTATAAATTCGAATTCAAATACTACAAATAGAAATAATACAAAATAAAAATACACAAAATATATCATATAAAATAGGAGTGGCCAGTTCAATTTGAGTTATTACCTAAAGTAAACCGAACCGAACCAGTTCGATTTTGATTTATTATTTAGAAATCGAACGATTTCGATTCGTTTTTCGAACCAAGTTGAAAACTGTTCAGCTATATATAATTAATTCCAATAATTTTTATACTTACAAATTAAAATAACCCAAATATATATACTAAATTTAGCCACACTTTAAACTTAATTTGTATTTTTATATTAGACACTTAGATTATTATTTTGTTATTTGGACTTATGTGATATTTGGATTTTGAAATATGCATGTTTGACTTGTTGTATAAACTTATTTTAGATTGAGAAATTTAAAACATACATTGTTAACTTGTTGTTTAGCTTTTGAAATTTAAATTATTGGTGAAAATAAATAAATAATTATGTGTGCTAGAAAATTAGGGAATATTTGAGTTCTCAAACCGATTCAAAATTCGAACCAAACTAAGCATTAGTCGAACCGAACTCTTTCAAATCGAACTAAACTAAAATTGTAAACTGAATAATTTCATTTTTTTCAAAACCAAAAAAATTGAATTGAAAAAAAAAAAAAAATCGAACCGAAACTCAAAATGTTCACTCCTAATATAAAATAAGAACTATACGCCCTGCAGAGTTTAGCTGAATGGTTCAAAAGTCACCCTTAAAGTCTTGCTCCAATAACAGAATGGTGATGAATACTCCTTGTACGCAACTCGCAATTTACCTATTTGATAGTTAAATGAAATACAACTACTACAATAGTACATAAGTACACATTTTTAATTAGTAATTGTTGTCATTTGTCCATTTGTGCTCAATCAAGTCACTGGTACGGGTAGTTGGGATTGTTTGGTTGCATTTTTATATCAATTTAAAAAATGTTAAAAATTATGAGAAATGTTCAAACCTCAGTGGAGGCGTTATTGGTTCTTTGTGTTTCAGTGGGTTGAGAAAGTATATGAACAGATACTACAATGTAATAGAGCCAGTAACTTTCAAAAAAAAAAAAAAAAAAAAGAGGGTAAAATATGAGTGATGTTGTAAACATGGCAATAATAGGCAATTTTTTTTTTAAATGATTGTTGAGTTAAAAACGAAAGCAACGGTCAACTTTTCTTTGAATATGTGATATTCATTTGGAATATCACATACCTAAATCACTTCTATCTACCCATTGGACTTGCCCTAAATAAATTGAAACATAAAAGCATTCCCATTGGTAATTTTTAAATTTAATATGATTTTTTTAAGATTTTTAAACTGACTTGGAGTTAGAGGCGAGTGATGAGAGGATAAAGAAGAAAAATGAATTAGACCATTCTCAATATGAAAGTTTTTTGCCGGCTAAATAAGATGGTTAGGTGAGAAAAAAAAAAAAACAAGAAAATAGAAAAGAAAAAATTTATACTACTTACGTGCCTGCTAGTGCACCACACGCGCACCATGAGTTTTTTTTTTTTTTTTTTTTTTTTTTTTTTTTTTTTTCTTTCTTTTAGGGTCTGTTTGGAAAGCAGGAAAATGACTTTTGGAAAATGTTTTCTGAAAAATGAGTCATTTTCCGAAAAACATTTTCTTTTCCCGTGTTTGGTTGCATTCTGAAAAACTGGATTGGTGTGTTTGGTTCATTTTTTAAAAAATGAGTAGAATTGTATAAATTAATATTTTAATTATTTTATTTAGAATATAAAAATATTTATAATAATAATACTAAAATAATTTTTAATATAATCATATAATATTAAAATAAGTACATTCAAAATATAAGTACATTTAAAAAAAAAAAAAAAAAAAAACAGATCTTCATTGGTTTCTGGCGGAAACCATGTCATGGTTTCCGATAGGGAAACCATGTTTGATTTCCGCGCCGGACACCATGGAATGGTTTCCGATACGTAAACCATGTCTGGTTTCCGCCCGAAAACCAGATGGGCATTTTATTATAAAAAAAAAAAAAATACCTTTGGTTTCCGGCGGAAACTAGATTCCCGCCGGAAACCAAAGCTTAAAGGAAACCAGTGCTCACTGGTTTCCGGAAGGACGCCGGAAACCAGTGAGTACTGGTTTCTGAAGCCAACAGATGAAGAAGAAACTAGCGCGAAAGTGGAGAAAGTGGAAAGTCAACATCTGGAAATTGACTTCCCCTTTAAAAAAGGGAAGTTGTTTTCCGGAAAAACAAGCTCATTTTCCATTGGTCAATGCCTCATTTTCCGTTGACTTTAAATTTTCATTCTTTCCAAACAGTGAAAACTCGAAAAATAATTTCCAGAAATCATTTTCTGGGTTTCCAAACACACCCTTATTTCCTTCTAATCCTGGGTTCCACAAAAAAAAATAATAAATAAATCATCTTTCCTCCAACTCATTACCTCTCTCCGTCCAACACTGCAAAACAAAACCAAGAAAAAACCCTTTTTTGGATACTCTTACTCAATACGGAGTATAATTTTTTTGAGTTATATTATATGTACTCGCAAATTTTACTTTCTGAGATGACAAACAAGGATTGATTATTTAACACGTGGGTTTACAAAAAAGTATCTACATCAAAAAAAGTTGAGAGTATAAAATGAGAGCATACCAAATATTTTTTTAAATTTTTGTTTTGTGAATAGAAAAAATAAGAAATAATTGTAGAAAGTTGGAAGAAGAAATAATTGTAGTAGATGCGCGTGGGGTGCACCTACCGCGTCCAACAGGCGCGTGCACTGCATGCCCAAGCTAGGCGCGTTAAAGCCTGCAGAGTTTGTTTGTATTTTTGTCTCTTTTCCCAAAATGGAAAAAAACTCCAACGGGTACGTATCGGAGATGCTCTGCCTTTCAGAGGAATCAGAGCTGTCTACGTTTTAAAACCCCCGTGAAATGCACAGCTAAGATCACCATGAAAACCTTCAAGAAACCCTAGTTTCCCTTCATTTTTAGATTTATTCTCCCAAAAGCGTAACCTTTTTCTTTGTTTCTCCAAACACACCGATGAAATTCTTAACTCTCCGTAGCCGGAAAGATGATAGTTGGAACTTACGGCCGGCGGAGCCGAAGGGCGGAAATGGATTTGAAGATGGGGCAGGGGATTCGCTCCATTAGGACGTTTCCAATTTTACATTTTCGTCCCAAGACTCCGGCCACTGATCATCTCAGGAGGCCGATGGGGATGGAGATTTTGAGGATAGGAATGGGCACTTCAGGAAATCCAAGAAGAAATCAGAGGGTGAGTGGCGATTTATTTCTAAAGTTCTGGGTACTGAGTTTAATATTTTGATGGCTCTGGTTTTATCATATTTTGATGACCTGTTATGCAATGTTAGCTTTTGAAATCATATTATATATTCTATAGAATTCAGCCTACAATTTACCTTTAAATTTCTTGGAATTATTTTGGTAGAGCTACTGGTAAAACTAGTACTCATGTTATTTTGATTACTTAATATGCAAAATGACATTTAGGGAGCGTTTGGTTCAGGTTATATTATATAACCAAGGGAATGTGACATTCCCGAGCTTACATTCCTATGTTTGGTTCATTTTCTGTGAGGGAATATAACATTCCCAGGGAATGCAACATTCCCTCCACATGGGATTTTGAAGGGAATGTGATTCCCTTCATTTTGTTAGGTAATGTAGGATAACCTTGCATATTTATGAATTTTGTCATTTTAATTCTAATTATTTAAAGATATATATTTTATGTTAGCTTTTATATATATACTAGTTTTTTACGCGCATCGCGCGATTAGTATAATGCCCAATGCTTTTTTGTTAAATAAGTACTTTAAAGTATATTAAGGCAGGATTATATTGAAATTATGCATGCATAGATAATTGAAGGTTGAATTTGCGTATTTAAATAGGTAATTATTCTCCCAAAGGTTGAGTCCCCAACCCCAAGGGCCCCCCACAATCCGACCCGACAGAGCATTATGGGAAGTTGTAAATCACGGTGACTCAATGGTTCAGCAGACAGGGCCAAATGCTGATACGCACAAGGAATCTGCCCACTTTGGGCATAATTCCCGCACTGCCGCCGCTGAGGTTCAAACCTTGGTCTCTTCTCCCAAATACTACCCACTAAACCATTGAGCTAAGCCCGTGCGAGTTAAATAGGTAATTCTAAGTTTACAGATGCAAGATAATATAGTCAAGATTGATTATAATTGTCAATAAAATAATTGTATAGGTATAGTTGAAACCAAATACGGGACATAAGGGAGAACAAATAAAAATTAGGGCATAAAATATTAAATATATACTAATATTGTTTGAGGAGATTCCGACATTAGGATTTGTGGTTAAGTTCTATTAATACTTTAATATTAGAATTAGATTAATGGTGTAGTTATAATTCTATATTAGACTTTAATATTAGAATTAGACTAACGGTGAATTAACGGAAAAGTTAAATGGATAATCATATAATTAATGATAAATTAGAAAATCTTAAAAGAAAAAAATTAAAACCTGAACAATATGAACCATTCATTTGATTTAATAATTTGGCCGGTCATTTTTTCTACCCAATGTTAATAATTAAATAAATTCGCTGATCAAATCCGCTAACGCTAACCGTTAAGTGCTGATTGTCAAACAAGGACGTTGCGAGGTAGTTCTCACTTCAATTTGTTGTGTGATTTGAATACTCTCTTTGTCACAAAATCTTTCAAGTAGTTAATATGGTTGGCTTTATTAATTATATTTTTTTTAATTTTTTCATGGTATTAATAAAATACTTGGTAAATAAATATATAGCATTATTTTGTATTATAACTTTGATATTTAATTAGAAAAATAGTGCACAAAAAAGATAATAGATAATGTAGTGAATATAATCAATTGATGAATTTGAATGTAAAAATTTTTACATTTTGAGAAAAATTAAGACAATATAACTAATGAAAATATTTCTTTTAATTAATTTATTGATAATTAATAATTTTTTTTCACTGAATAAAGACATTGTAAGGACAATGTAGCGAATATAATCAATTAATAAATTTGAATATAAATAATTTTTATATTGAAGAAAAATAAAGACAATATAATTAATAAAATTATTTCTCTTATTTAATTTATTGATAATGAATAAATTTTTTTTTTTTGAATAAATGCATTGTAAACACATAATTCTAAATTAAAGAAATGCATATGTATTATTTTTTGTTGTAACTACTAAATTATTATTTATATAATTTAATAAGAGTAAAATAGAGTACTAATTATGCCAACTTTGATTGGGATGTGGTTCGAACCTAAGACATTTTTTTATTGAAATCAATGAGTAAGTTAACGGTGAACTAACGGCAATTCTTAAAATTTTAACGGAATTAGTAACGGTGTGTGGGTATTTTAGAAAATTTTTGTGTAAAATTTAAATCTGATCAATCTTTTAATCAATCTGAGCCATTCATTTGATTAAAATCTGCGACCGCCATTTTTTCTACCCATTATAGGCCTAACTCTCTTGGGCTCTTATTAGTATAGTAGATATATATATATATATATATATATATATATATATATATATATATATATATATATATATATATATATATATATATAAAAGATAAGATAACCCTAAACCAAACATAATTATATTACATACCTCAATTTTAACCAAACACAGGAATCTAACATTCCCAGTAATCTAACATTCCCAGCAATCTAACATTCCTAAGGTAATCTAACATACCGTGAACCAAACGGCCCCTTAGGGTGTGTTTGGAAACCTGAAAAATGAGTTCTGAAAATCATTTTCCAAGTTTCTATTGTTTGGATGTGCCTGGAAAATCAAATCTAACGGAAATCATTTTCCATTGACTTTGAAAAATAGGCTTGTTTTGGAGGAAAATGACTTTCTTTTTTTTTTTGAAAGTTATTTTTCAACTTTTAAACCAACATCATCAAACCATACCACCATCACCACCATTACTACCGCCGCCACCACCACTATACCATCGCAACCACCGCCACCACACCACCACCACTACCACCACTACCACCACCATTACCACCACCAACACCATACCACCGCAACCACTACCACCACTAATACTATCAACACCATACCACCACCACCATACCATCGTCGCCGCCACCACCGCAACCACCGCCACCACCACCACACCACCACCATCACACCACCACCACCACCATACCACCGCCGCCACCACTGCCACCACCGTCATACTACCACCAGTTGTTATTATTATTATTATTATTATTATTATTATATAACAAATAACACCACTACCATTACACCACCACCACCACCATAATATTTTTGATATATTATTAGTTATTTTTTTTATATTTAAAATTATTATTATATTATTATATATTATTATACATGTTGTAATATTCTAAATAAAATAATTAAAATGTTTAATTATACCATTCTACTCATTTTTCAGAAAATGAACCATACACACAAAAACAATTTTCCAGAATGCAACCAAACACGGGAAAAGGAAAATGTTTTCCGGGAAATGACTCATTTTTCAGAAAATATTTTTCAGAAGTCATTTTCCTGCTTTCCAAACGGACCCTTAGCTTATAATTTTTAGATGATTTTTTTCTATCATTTCCTCTGTGAGTACAAGTGATGAGGGGGCCTTTTCCTTAAAGTGGTTTACTGAATCTCAAACTGATCTGATTGGAAGGTATGACCATTGATTCTTGGTGGTTGAGAACATATTAATGATGGAAAAATTAAGAACATATAGCAAAAGTTAATACCTATTGATCAAAATAGAGATAGATGGAAGAAATAAAGGACAGAAGCTTGAACTTATGGATGATCCTTTTGCTTCTGATGAGGATGATTTTGAACCTTCTAAATGGGATTTACAGTTCATGGACATGAAGACAAAAAGTAATTTTCTTGCTTGCTTGTTTATATTCCTTCTTTAGACTTTTAGTAGTGTGGAAGCCTTAATTGTGCACTGGGTCCAACCAAAACTTTTTTATTGTTTCTTTTGCTATATGAAGAAAGTGAGCTTTCCATTGTCCATGGAAGAATGATGAGGAATTTTCATGCCTTCATTGGATATTTTAAGAGTAAACATTGAGTTTCATTCATGATTTTTTCATTGACAGGTTTTGATGAACTTAACAAATGACAGCCCCATCGGCTGGGCAGTGGAAGGTGGTGAAAGCTGGAAGGGGGACGGGGCAAATGGCACCAGGTTTCTGTTCTACTTTGCGGTATGCTTTTGTGATTTTCAATTTATTGCTATGCAGCCTAAGTATATTGTTCTATCGAAGTATATTATGTTTGCGACTTAATACCATCTGGGTTCTCCGAATATAGTGATTCTGTCATGTTTAGTCTTAAACTTTCAAATTGACCACCCGTGGTCCTTCGACTTTCAAATTGCTATCATTCGTGGTTCAAGTTAACCACTTATGATCCTTCAACTATCAAATTTTAACCACCCATGGTCCTTTCAGGAAGACCAGAACTGGTTAAATTTTGAAAGTTGAAGGACCATGGGTAATAAACTTAGATCATGGATGGTAACAATTTAAAAGTTAAAGGACCTTTAGGACTAAACGTGACAAAACCACCATAATTGGAGGACCCCATATAACATTAATTATTATGTGTGCACACACTTCTTTTTATTTCGTACTCAAGCAAAATGATATGATGCTAGAAATAAAATGATACCAAAGAAAGTAACTCTCTTTTTCTCTGTTTACTTATCAAAGATAGAATATCATATTACTTGGTGTTCTGGATTTGTTTCATAGTGCAAACTCTTAAGAAATATTGAACTAGTGTTATTTACACTTTTGGTTCTATGAATATTGGGGTCTTGTTAATTTCAATTCACGACTTTCAAAACTAACAATTGAGTACTCTAACTATTCAATTTTTATCAATTTTGGTCCATCCGGCCAAACTGCCAACGAAAAGTGACTGAAAAATTTTAATGGATAAAATCTTTAGGGCAATTTAGTCATTTGCTCTTCCTCTTTTCTTTTCTCTGTTTCTTCTCTTCTCTTCTACGCCAGTAGCCATGGAAGATGACGGAGAAACAAAATTGTAAAGTTACCCTTTCTTCTAATTTTGAACTATGGTGAGATGAGGGTGTCGGTGTCCGGTGCCGGAATACTGAATAAAAAGCTCACCATAATCCACCGTTCCTGTTTCATCCAGGCACCCCATTATCGACCTCCCGTCGGGGATAAATATCCTCGTTTTCGTCCTCATCTCCTGCAACCGACAGGTGCGGGATTTTTCCTAGCCACCGGGTTTTGCGTCCGTCAATTGCACGAGCTTTCCAGCAGGGAGTGTTTAGTTTCCCCTCAATCCCTCTGTTTCCTACTCTGGGCTTGTGGGTGGGAACAACTTCTTCTTGCGCCATTCCAACGATAGTACCATCGCCTTCAGTGCTGGCAATGGCCGGGGTTTCGACATTCCAACGAGAGTACAATCGCCTTCAGTGCTAGCAATGGCTGGGGTTTTGCCATTCCAACGAGAGTACCATCGCCTCAAAACTCGCATTGGGTCGAGATTTCGTTTGCGGGTTGCGCGATTCGGACAAAGTTCAGTGTCTAGGAAGTGATTCAAATGTCACCGATTATGCCCCTAACGGGACTTACAGTGATTCGCCGGAGGGGCAGTTGGATTGCAAGGGAGATATGGCTAGAGAAAAGTTGGACGAGGAATTTGTGAATCTTGCCTTGGGAGAGAACCGGGGATGCGCGATAAGACGGTCTAACGGAACAGTAGTTTGCTGGGGAGAAAATGGGTTTAGCCTCCCCAAAAAGTTGCAGGGCAGGCGTTTCATGGCGTTGGCGGTGAGAGAAACAATGTTTTGCGGCGTGGAGGCGGCGAATTCAACGTTGTATTGTTCGGGAAATGCGTTTTTCAATTCAAATTCTAAGGTTTTCGACGAAATAGTTCCTGGCCAGTGCACGAATTCTTGTCTTTGCAGTCCTATGCCTTTTTATGGTAAATTTTGCGGCTAAAATCTAAGGATATGTGAGCCGTGCATTCTTGAAACTCCCACTGAGAATCCACCTTCACAACCACCAATGTCGTCGTCGTGGTTCTAATTTTGAACTGTTGGCGGCAACGACGACGACGACATTGGTGGTTGTGAAGGTGGATTCTTAGTAGGAGTTTCAAGAATGCACGGCTCACATATCATTAGATTTGTCCAAAAAATTTATCGTAGAAAGGCATATGACCGCAACGACAAAAATTGCAAGGAACTACTTCGTCGAAAAGCTTAGATTTTGAATCAAAAAATGCATTTCCCCAACAATACAACGTTGAATTCGCTGCCTCTACGCCATAAAACATTGTTTCTCTCGCCGCCAACGCCATGAAATGCTTGCCCTGCAACTTTCCGAGGAGGCTAAACCCATTTTCACCCCAACAAACTACCGTTCCGTTAGACCGTCTTATCGCGCATCCCCTGTTCTCTCCCAAGGCAAGATCTACAAATTCCCCGTCCGGTTTTTCTCCAGTCATATCTCCCTTGCAATCCAATTGCCCCTCCGGCGAATCACTGTAAGTCCCGTTGGGGGCATGATCGGTGACATTTGAATCACTTCCTAGGCACTAAACTTTGCCCGAATCGCGCAACCCGCAAACGAAATCTCGACCCAATGCGAAATTTGAGGTGATGGTACTCTCGTTGGAATGACGAAACCCCCGGCCATTGCCAGCATTGAAGGAGGTCGGAATTCTCCACGATTCCAGAAATGCAAGAATTCCCAGAACCAAGATCGACGATCCTTGAGCCGAGGTAGATTCTCTTGTACGCCATCTCGGTCCCGTTTATTGAAAATCTCCAGCACACCATGGCAGAAACTGATGAAGAAAAAGAAGAGGTGAGAGCGCAAGAAGAAGCTGTTCCCACCCACAAGCCTAGAGTAGGAAATGGAGGGATTGAGGGGAATCCGAACACTCCCGGCTGGAAAGCTAGTACAATTGACGGACGCAGAACCCATCGGCTAAGAAGAATCCCGCACCTGTCGGTTGTAGGAGCTGAGGACGAAAACGAGGATATTTATCTCCGACGGGAGGTTGATGATGGGGTGCCTAGATGAAACAGGAACGGTGGATTATAGATCCAATTTTTCACTTTTTTGGATTCCTTGTCATTTGTTTTTCTTGTTCCTGGTGGTATCAAAACGCCGCTATGTCGGGATATCTTATCTGCTCTTCCAGGGAAATATATATCTCCAGAAAAGATTTTCAGTTCAATTCTTTTTTTTTTTTTCTCCACCCTGACCAACCCGCCTACTCGGCTTCTTATATTTAAGGTGATTTGTGTATCTACCCCAATGATACTATTGTTCCGTACCATTATGGAAATGGAAGAAGATCCGGGTAAGATATGCACTTCTTCGGGAATGAAAAAAAATCGATCTACTTTCTTTTGGTGTTTTGGTCGAAATTCCCTCACTCCTCGATACTGAATCAAATCCTCTTTTTTCACGATTGAATGCATTTCTAGAGTCCCATATTTAGTACTGCCCGAACTCATTCTTCTGTACCGAGGATCGTCGAAATAAGCAATAATACTATTTCCACAGAAAATACCATTTGTGGGGATTTTCATCGAGATACCTGAACAGGGCATTAGTTCCTTCTTGCGTTCTTGAATCGATTGGAGTGGAATGATGAATTGATTTCTTCGCCTCTTTGATAATAAATTTGACAAAAAATCCGAATTCTCGGCTAGAATAGGTAGAATAGCCGGATATACGAGATTAGAATGATCAGTACATATGATTCGATTGAGGTCTGAATAATCAGCAATCCTATCTTCTTTTTGACCAGAAAAATGCGCACTAAAGATTTTTTGTCTCGCCCGATCATTAGTTTCTGAGAGGTTGGAAATAGATCTTCGCTTGACAAAAAGGGAATGCGCACTCTTTTGATCCTGATCCCTGTGGATCGAAAGGGAGACTAGACTGGAACGGCACGGCTCCCCTAATAATATCCATAAATGACTTGTTTTTGATAATAAATGAACATTCCCATATGTAAATTCAGGTGCATGATACACATCAGTACTCCAGTGCATTTCTCCATCTGAATCAGAATAAATATGTTTGCGAACCTTCTCTTTCAAATTCAAAGTAGATGTTCCTGCGCGAATCTCAGCAATCACTTGTTCGGATTCTACATATTGATCGTTTTGAACTAAAAGAAAACTTTTGGGGGGAATATTCACATTATGTAGAATATCTTCACTCTCAATAGTTACATACAAATCTATAGAACATAGAAAAGCGGGATGCCCATGACGTGTACGTGTCGGATGAACCAAATCCTCATGAAATCTTATTTTTCCATTAGAAGGGGCTCGGACATGTTCTGCAGTACCCCCTGTGAATACTCCGCCAGTATGAAAAGTTCTTAATGTTAATTGAGTCCCAGGTTCTCCAATCGATTGACCTGCAATAATACCTACAGCTTCCCCCAATTCAACCAGGTCGCCATGAGTAGGACTCCGGCCATAACATAATCGACAAATCCAAGATGTACTCCTACAAGTAAAGGGAGTTCGAATCGATATTGGTTGGGCTCGAAAGGTTATGAATCGATTTACAAGTCCAACTCCAATGTTTTGATTTCTAGTGGCAATACACCGTGGGCCTATGTATATATCATCTGCTAATACACGACCAATTAATGTTTGGATCAAAATCCTTTCCGGCATCATCCCATTCTGAGGACTCACAGAAACCCCTCGGACAGTGCCGCAATCCGCTCGACGTACAACAATGTGTTGAACTACTTCAACAAGTCTGCGCGTGAGATATCCAGCATCTGATGTTCGTACAGCAGTATCCACAACCCCCTTATGGGCCCCGTAGCAAGAAATGATGTATTCCGTTAAAGAAAGTCCTTCGCGTAAATTGCTTTGAATGGGTAAATCAATCATTTGTCCTTGTGGATCTGACATTAATCCTCTCATACCTACCAATTGATGTACCTGAGATGCATTTCCTCTAGCTCCCGAAAAAGACATTATATGAACTGGATTCAAAGGGTCAGTCATCCTAAAATTAGGATTCATTTCTTGTCGCAAATACTCACTTGTAGCATACCATATTTCAATGGATTGACGTAATTTTTCTACCGCGTGTACATTCCCATAATGATGGTGTTTTTCCAAAATCAAACTTTGCTGTTCCGCATCTTGAACTAGCCATCCCTTAGAAGGTATTGTTAA